GGAGGTATCAGTGATGTTCTGATTGTGAGGAAAGATGGCAAAATGTCAGTAATTTCCAACGTGTTATACATACCAGGCATGAAGAGCAATTTGGTTAGCATATGGCAGTTGGTCAAAAAGAACTACAAGGTGTCGATTGAAAACAAGGTGATGAGAGTTCTCAACTCAAAAGGAAGGTTGATCTTGAACGCTCTCATGTATCAGAATAGAACATTCGTGATGGAGCATAAGTGCCTTGAAACTGCAACTAGCAGGGATGAATGAAATGATACTATAGACTTTGACATCTCAATTTTAAAGACATCAGAGATCTGAAGAGAAGAAATATGGCTTTTCAAGATTACTAGAAATTGACATTCCAAATAAAGTGTGTGAAGAATGTGTGCAGGCAAAGCAACACAAGAATAGCTTCAGCAAGGATGCAGGAAGCAAGTCGAAGGCAATTCTTGAAGTCATATACTCTGATGTATGTGCTCTTATCCATGTAGATTCAATTGGAGGTAACAAATACTTTTTCACTTTCATAGATGATTTCAGTCGAAAACTGTGGACTTACCTGATCAAAAAGAAAAAGTGAAGTGATCGAGGTATTTGCCAAATTTAAATCTATGGTCGAAAGACATAGTGGTCAAAAGCTAGAGATTTTGAGGAATGATTGTGGTGGAGAGTATGTGTTGAAATATTTTGATGCATTATGTGAGAAAGAAGGGATTATGTACGAGGTGATGTCACTTTACACTCCACATTAGAATGGAACTGCAGAAAGGAAGAATATAACCATCATGAATATGGTGAGAAGTATGTTGAAAGGCAAGCATCACCCAAAGAATTATGGGGAGAAGTTGTGACGACTGCAACATACATCTTAAACAGATGTCCGACAAAAAGGCTAGAAGGAATTACACCAGAAGAATGTTGGTCTGGCGTCAAGCCTAGCCTAAGTCATTTGAAAGTGTTTGGATCTATAGCACATAGACATGTGCAATATCAGTTGAGAAAAAAACTTGATGATAAGTTGATTCAAATGATCTTGATAGAATATAATTCGACTGGAGGATACAAGTTATTCGACCCAGTGAACAAGCAAGTAGTTATCAGCAGGGACGTGATCATAGATGAGCTTAAAGAATGAGATTGAACTAAGAATGTTAAGAAAGATTCAGTGAGAATCTTATGTGAAGAACCAGCTAGTGAAGTCGAAAGAGAAGTTTGACAAGAAGAAGTCAGAGGTGACGCGGGCCTAAGCAGTCTTCAACGAACAAGACACGCGTCTGCAAGGTTGCAAGAATATGTGATTATATCAGATGACGTGGTCAATGAAAAATGTGAGCTGGTACACTATGCTTTCTACGCAGATGTTGAACCAGTCAATGAGATGAGGCATTGAAAGATTCAAAGTGGAAGAAAGCAATGAATGAGGAACTAGAGTCCATAGAAGTCAACAACAATTGGTCACTTGTCGAATTGCCTCAACGCAAGAAGGAAATTAATGTGAAGTGGGTATACAAGGTGAGGCTGAATCCTAAAGGAGAAATAACTCGACACAAGGCGAGACTTGTGGTGAAAGGATTTCTTCAGAAGGAAAGAATCGACTTCGATGAAGTCTTTGCACCTGTTGCTAGGATCGAAACAGTCAAGTTGGTTGTTGGTCTAGCAAACATGAATAATTGGCACATATGTCAGATGAGTGTGAAATGTGTATTCCTGGATGACCCCTTAGATAAAGAAGTTTATGTTGCACACCCAACTGGGTTTGTGAAACAAGGCAAAGAAAGAAAGGTGTACAGGTTGCATAAAGCCATGTATGCACTTAAGAGCTTCAAGAACTTAGAATAGGAAGATAGATAGATTTTTAAGGGAGAAGGAATTTTGGAAATGCACAACTGAGCATGGAGTATATGTAAGAAGAAGCAAGAGTAAATTGTTAATACTATGTCTTTATGGCGATGACTTGTTGATAACAGGTAGCTACAAGAAAGAGATTCAAGACTTCAAAGGTGATCTTAGCAAGGAATTTGAAATGACTGATCTGGGTGACATTTCATATTTCCTTGGTATAGAATTCTAAAAGAGCAGTAAAGGTTTAATGATGCATTAAAGAAGATATGCAAGTGAAATTCTCAAGAGATTTGAGATGGAAAAATGCAACTCGACTTCGACACCTGTTGAACCAAGACTACAACTATCGAAAGATTCAGAGGAAGATGATGTAGACCCAACCCAATGTAAAAGACTTATTGGGTCACTAAGATACATTTGTCATACAAGGCCTGACTTAGCATACAATGTAGGTATGGTGGGTAGATTCATGCAAAAGCCAAAGGCATCACACCTAGCAGCGACGAAGAGGATACTAAGGTGTCTGAAAGGAAATCTCGACTATGACATTTTATTTCTTGCAAGTGGTGAAGGAAAAGAATGCAAGTTAATGGAATACACCGACTCAAGTTAGTGTAGTGATGTTGAGGATAAAAATCCACAGCTGGCTATGTGTTTATGCTAGATGGTGCACCAATTGTTTGGAGTTCGAGAAAGGAGCCAATAGTGGCATTATTGTCGTGCGAAGCAGAGTACATAATTGATTCTCTTTGTACATGTCAAATAATGTGGATGATGAACCTGGTAGAAGAGATTACAATGAAGAGTCATGAAGCAATTATCACGAAGATTGACAACATGTTTGCTATCAATCTAGCGAAGATTCCGATAGCACATGGACGAAGCAAACACATCGAAATGAGGTTCCACTATCTTTGAAAGTAGGTAACAGAAGGGATGATAAACTTGGAACATTGCAGAACTAAGAATCAGATTGCATATATCATGATGAAATGAGTGCAAGTTGAAGTCTTTAAGAAGTTAAGGTATATGATAAACATAAATAACTTAGAAACGATGAATTAGATGGTGTGTTGAGAATGTAATTCCTTGTGTCGAAGTAGGTAGTGCTCGACACGAACAAGGATGTGTCAAAATTAGCATAGTGTATGTGTGTGTTGAAATGTCGAAGCAGGTTACTCGACAGGATTTTGACTTAAGCCTATTTTAGTAGTGTTAGCTGAATTGGATATTTTGGTCTTTGGCTTAGAAGCAAAATAACCTAAAACTATAAATAGAGGGAGTAATCCCTATTCTTGTAACAACTTGAATTCACAGAATTTTGCAGTTGTAAAGTGAATAAATTTTCCACAGTTTGTGGACATAGAGTTACTCTGCATAAATCACCATCTTCTTCTATATTTTGGCAAACCCTAATTTTCTTTCTTCTGCAATTTTCTTTCTTTTCATTATTATTGTGTATCAATAATAATCTTATTCATTAAGATTGATAGAAATTCTTCATAGATTGTGATGGATTTTCAACAAATTTTAGGGTATAACAACTTCTATATTTTTCTCTCAATTAACAAAATAGATAGATATACATGTTTATAACTGCTAAAATTTTACAAATCCGAAACGAACCTAAAACACGACTCATCACCAACAGATCTAAAACACGTCTGATATTATTGTGAGATTGTTTATATTGCTAGAGATAGTGTATATTCAATTGTGATATTGGTATTTTATAAGTTGTTCAAATCTTCGTCAATTGTATTTTCACCCAAGACATTGAAAGATTGTAATTTGACGAAGAGGGTTGTGTAGCAAGACGTTGTGCACAACTATTTTGTTAAAATAATGGTGATATATGAGGAATCATTATGACAATTTCTTAACGCATCCTTTATGTTTCTAATGCACCGCGCGAATTTGCAAAAATACCTCCTATTTTCAGAGATACATCTTCGAACACACTGCAATACACATATTTCTTTCGTTTTTTAGTCGTACTCCAATTTTATAAATAAATTTATTCAGAAAATATATCTTCGGAAAATTTCCGAAAATATATTTTTGGAAGTTAATAAGTATGTGTTTCTGCATTTTTTATTTTTTTTACTGTATTTATTATTTGCTATTTTCTTGATGACAATTTGCTACCTCAATAGTTTAGAAGGAGTTTGAAGAAGGATTCAATTTACTGATGTAGATAAGAAATATTTAATTATTGCAGCAAATGATGCTCACAAGAAGTCATTGGCTATTGGCCAGGATGTACCTATATGAACATAAAAAAGGTCAATTAGTTTTTCGGAGATACACGCATTTTTTAAAATTCACGTGTTACATTAGAAACATATAAGGTGCATTAAGAAATGATGATCATTATAGGCTCAAGCTGAGATTAACCACATAAAGATAGACAAAAGATTCGAAAGAGGGCCTAATCGCATTTTTTATTAGAATTTTCTACATCTTTAGTTTATTTTTATACACATTTACAATAGTTAACAAAGAATTCAATTTCGCTATGTGTGCCCCCATTTTACATGTGGTTTATTTACCTAAACAACACGAGTGTAATCTCTTTCATATTGATGATCAACAATTTCTATGAATACAATCATACTGTGTTGATCAGTCAAAGCAACACATAATCTTTCAAACAAGACATAGAAAATAAATCAAATGAAAACTTGAAGTCATATACTCATATGTGCCTGGGTGGCATGTATGTCATGAATTTTATTGATTATTTCACTAGAAAGATATGGAGTTAATTAATCGAGTAAATGTAAAGTGTTAGAGGTATTCAAAAGTTGTTAGGCAATGGTCGTTAGACAGAGTGGAAAACTATGGAAGAATGTAATAATAAGCATCATAAACATGGTTAGAAGCATGTTAAAAAGTAAAAGCTTGGCAAAATACCTATTGAGAAAATTTTATGAAGTTGTTACAGAGATTACATAATAAACTAACCTTATTAATACTTCATCATTCATCTGTTTCCAAAAAAATGAGACTAAAAGTGGAAGCTCAAGGAGAGCTTTGAGACTAATTTTCCCGCCAATTTAGAATAAGTCCTCATCATATCATTGATAGACATAGATATAAACATTATGCCACCCTCTCGTGACATCATGCTATAAATATACTATACTATCCTAATTAAACTAGAAAGGCCTTGTGACACGACCACTTGCTCTGCCGCATAGAAGAGCATTCTTTGGGACTGGATATTCATCTCTCAATGATTTTGAAGGTGTGTATACTCTAAGATAGAATTGTTGTCCTAAGTACTGTCTTTCCCAATTCTCAGACCGTATATTCCACATTCCAACATTGTCAAGTGCAATGTATATTGCTGTCCATGACCTTGGGTAAACCTGCATGTATGCAATCAATTACCAACTTAGAATGCAGAAATTCATTTACAAATGAATTAAAAGCTTAATAACTACAGCATTATTTATACCTGAGTAGTGCATCTAGCAACGGTGTCTCTCAGATTGTAGCGTCCTCTACTATCAGGTGTCCATTGCCCGCTACCAAACCTATTCATAATTGTTAGATCATCACAAATGTTTGACTAATCATAATTAAAGGGTTGGTTAAATAGTAGTATGTAGCTTACCCTACAACAAAGAAGGAATAGCCGTCAATGTGCCATGACTGCACAGAACTCTCCCAATTTTGGAACACAATCTCAACATTTTCATGAAAATTAGCACCCATGACAGCAGTTTGGAGGTAGCCATTATTGCCTCCGGTAGGTGAGGTAGGAATGCTTCCGACATAGAAAACTCCGGGAATGTTGAAGTAGTCAGCAAGTTTCAATGGAGTGTCTGGAGCAATATATGATACACTGTTGACAGCATACCTCTGCCTGCCATTGATATAAGGAGCAGAGTTTGCAAGCATGATGGTTCGGCTGGGCTTGATCAATCCATAGTGGTAAGATCCTTGAGGGTTTGGTCTTGGTCCACTTGCTGTCAGGTTCCACCTGGTTTCAAGAGCACCAACACGTTAATTATTGTCTAACTAAAATGAACTTAAAAAGGTACTTACTTTCTTTTTACTCAAGGAGTTTATGAGAAGTAGATTTTTCTTAAATTGTTCGAAATTTGATCCAACATTATGAAAATATCGTCAGTAATACTAGGCTTCAACAAGAGAAGGGGCAATATAAGTGAAACAAAAGATTACCGGATAGTTCTGGCTTGAAAGACAGATGAGGCAATATCAAGAGTAGGCCCAGGAGGAGGAGGGCCAGATACCCCTATGCGTGAATTGCTGTAATGAAGAATGGAAGTTGTTGTAAGTACTCGTCTGGTGAATCGTGTAGAGACAACTATGTAGTAATCCTTGACAGGCTGATCAGCTGTGACCAGAACAGAATAGGACTGTCCTAGATGGACGTCGAGTGAAGAGTAAGTGTTTTGGAGGGTATGAGATCCTTCTACTTCTACAAGTTTCAATTTGTGCCCTTGGATTCTGAAGTTGAGGGATGTTGCCAGCCCCACATTTGATATCCTGAATCTATATGTCCTACCTGCAGATTCAACAATTAAACAATGGTGTAAAAGGTAATGAAAGGCATGCATTTCATAATCTTTTTCTGGTCATAACCCTCGGGTTTCCAAGGGAAAGAGACACTGGTAATCTAGAGTTCCGATCAGGGTTCTAACTCGAATAAGGAAGTTAGATTTCAGCATTGCTCTAAAATATAAAATAAAAATATTTTTTGTTACCAACCTTGATCGACAGTGAATGTGTTTCCATTCCAACCACGACCATTGATAAGAAGGCCGTCAGGGAAGGGGAGATTGTGACCACTCTCGACGACTCGTCTCAATCTCTAAAACATCAGAGGGTAAGTAATAAGTATTGATAGAGGATTTAGGAGACAATGAATAAAAAAGAGAGAAAAAACTGAAATGAATGAAAAGGGTTTAATTACGCGGTGGCCAAGCTTGAACCAATCACCGGCAAGTATGGTAATGTCTCCTGAAGGAGAAGGAAAAGGAACAGGAATGCCAGGGCGGCTCCAAATTCTGATTGCACCAAATGCACCAGCAGCTTTATGCATTCCAAGTGATGGGAAGTAGAAATAGCTACCAATCTGGTCTTTCGCCTGGAGTCTGTAAGTGAAGTTCCTCCCAGGCGGGATCGGACAGTTTGTGCCAGAGACACCATCCTGCCATGAATTCCTCCTGTGCTGTATGCCATTCCTGTAGAAGATATTTTGAAACCATAAAATTCCAACAAACTAAAATCATTTCCTTATGCTAAATGAATAAATTAAACCATTCACACTTAAGAACCATGAAACACAGGCACTCGAAACACGACACCGCGACACGTCGTCACCAATAATAATTTGAAAAAATAAATAAGTTAAACGTAATCACAAGTGTCGGTGTCGATTTCAGACACCAACATCGACACACTTTTTTTCCGAGGTGTCAATGCTATAGCTTAAGAAGGCTTCTAAATGATTCACCAGCTCATATAGCACAGTCCTAGTGGATTTATGGAGTGTATAGTATACTCAACCACACCAATAAATTTGATTGCAGTGGCAATCAATACACATACAGTGTGTTAGCTGGCCTTCCTAAGTTGCCGGACGGCTACTCAAATATAGTACTACACTACTGCATAATAATGAATCGGTATACGGTTCAGTCAATGAATTACAAATTTAACAAGTTGAGAATATTGTTTATGATCCCTCCCCCAACCCATCATAGTAGAAACATAATTTCAGTGCTAATCAGTGTTGGACTGAGAATGGACCATTATAAAAATAAAAATAAAAAGTCTAATCTCTAGTTAAAGCAAAAAGCAATTAGACAAAAAGACTCAAAAAGACAACATAGTAAAGCAACTATACATACTTCCATTTAATGTAAGATTCCCCTTTCATTAGATTTTGTTTAATTAATTATTACCACACTAACTAACCATTCAATGAACTAACTTAAATATTATGTGAGTTCTAAAAAAAGATTACACCTTTTTAAGCAAGAATGAAATCATGTGATCTAATCTAGGAGAAAAGTTATTAAGACCAAAAAAGGGAAGAACTTTAAATCTGGCATTACTTCAAACATGTAGTGTTGCATAAAATGAGAAATTATAGAATATACTGATAACACGTACCAAGAAATGAGGAATGGTTCTGAAAGATAGTTAAAGACACTGATAATCAAGTTCTCATTGGTAACAGTGTCTATTTGAGGACCTGGAAACTGTCCATTAATCAAGATCCCCTAGAAAACCAAGAAAGAACCTCAACAATGAAAACAAAGTTACTTCATAGAAAAGAAAACATGAAAGGATTGAAAATGATTACCTGTTGTTTAAGACCAAGAGGATAAATGTCACCATAGGTGACTTTCCATGTGAAGTACTTATATGGGTCTTCAGAGGTAACAGATGTGAAAAAGAAAAAGAATGTGGCAAGAAAAAGAATGAGATAAGAAGAAACAACATTGGTTGATTTCATTTTGGTTAAAGGACTAAACTGTGTACCGTTTTTGGAACTTTTTAGATAGATAGATCTATTGTTAGGTTCCTTGTTGGATTGTGAAGAGAACTCACAAGTCACAACATAACACAAAACAATAGAAACAAGTTTACAACTAAACAATGTTTCACTTTTCTAAGTGTCTCCTTCGTCCTTTTATGCTGTTTTCTTTATATTTTAATGCTTACCTGTTTTTTGCGTTAGTGGAACGCTGAAACTGTGACCAGAGAATGCGGAGTTATATCAAGTTTGTCAAACATAACAAAGAATGGAAGTTATAGTTGAGTTCACATTATACTTCCTAATAGATTCTCCATTTTAATAATTTCATAATGCATGGAGGTTAAATTAATGGACTTTGATGTCGCCAACAACAAATTAAATTATAAGAAAAATTGAGTTTTTTTTTAAAAAACACAAAAAATTCTATTAAAAGAAAGAAGGAAAAAAATCAGAATTAATTATAATTATTTTACTATTCACTTTCTCTATTAGAATTCAAAGATTATAAATTAATATCAATAATTAAAACCCTCTCTCAACAACATGAGAGAAACATTTTATTTATAAATTACTAAGTTAACTTAAATAATTTGGTCCAACTAACTGCTTCAATTCAATACGATAACTCAAATAACAAACTAACATAATTTTGTATGCAAAAACAGACTTCGACTACGGCAAGCACATCTTCGGCTTCGAAAGAGTTTGCTACAACACTATCTTATAACCCATAAGTTATAAATCTCCACCTTGAAACAAACTCTGGACCTCAAAACCAACTAGTTGTCATGCAGCTTTATCAACTGCATACAGTGGAAAAACTTGCAACTTGACAATATCTTGGTGATCATATCAACAACATTGTCATCACTCAAAACCTTCAGCACTTTGACTTTTCCACGCTCGGTTATCTCTATGACAAAATGCAACCTTACATCGATGTGAGTGGTTCGCTCATGATAGACTGAATTCTTCGACAGTTGTATTGTATTTTGACTGTCACATTTAACAATGATAACTCGGCCTTGAAGTCCCCTTTTACTTTATGGAACTTACATCATCTACCTGAATCAGGTCCCATAACGCCATCTTTTAGGGCCGGAGGCACGGGGATACCATCTTTTCCCCTTAACTTTAGTTCGGAGTCCATTTTTTCCTTAATTTTTAAAATTTTCAAATCGATCCCTTAATTATTTAAGACGGGTCACATTTGTCATTCCGTCTATCTCTGTTAGTGAGGGTTCGAAAAGAGTGTCCATGTGGCTTTCACATGGCTTGTTATTCTTACGTGGATTAGACGTGGCATTAACATGTTATATGTTATGGTATTGTGAAGTTTGTCATTTTAAGAAAGCCAAGTGAAGAAAGTTAAGAAAAACTCGTGCAGAGAAAGATTGAAGGCAGAAAACATTGTTTCAAAAAGCGTTTGAGTTCGAGCGAAAGGTTGAAGAAGTCGTTGCAAACAAGTTAGTTTGTTGTTCCTTTGTATGAGTTTTGCATGTTTTTAATATGAGAATTTAGGGTCTCTTCAAAAATTAGGGCTTTGCATGTTTTCTATCTTTTTTTAATAGGGTTTTTAATAATATTGATTCTAAATTGATTAGGTGTAATGGAGGAGTTTATAGTACTAGGAATTCATCATAGTGGTGAAATCGTTGATGTGATGATAAAGTGTATGAAGGAGGGAAAATTGATGAGCTGAAAGTAGATGTGGACAAATGGAGTTACTTTGAGTTGATAGGTACACTGAAGGACTTAAGTTATAGGGAATTTGAGAAAATATATTACAATGAACCGACATTTGGGATGAATTCATTGAATGATGATGCAAGAGCATTAGAAATAGATGATTTTTGTATGGTTCACCTAGGTGTGGACATTTACATTCAACACAAATTTGATCAGTCTGATTACTATGATGAGCCTATAGAAGTAGAATTAGAAAATGGTGACAATGTGAATGAGGGGTCTGATGTGGTTGAATAAGTGCTTTCTAATTTGTATGAAGGAGCAGTCAATGAAAATGATACTTTCAAAAAAGTTGAAAATGTTGGTTTGGATGGGCCTATAGAAGTAGAATTAGATGCTCAAAATGTTGGTTTAGATGGGCCTACAGAAGCAGAATTGGATGCTCAAAACGTTGGTTTGGGTGGGTCTATAGAAGCAGAATTGAATGCTCAAAATGTTGGTATGGATGCACATAGTGTTGGTATGGAAGGTCGTGAGGTGGATGATGCTCTAAGTAGTGATGATAATGAGGATTCTTTGTACAAGTATGGTAGTGCTCTAGGGGTATCTTTTGATGATTCTTCTGATGGTTTTGATGATATAGATGAAGATGAGTTGGCAAACCTACTTGAACATGAACAACTTGAAGAGGGACAATCCAAAAAACAAAAAGAGAAATGGGAAGAAGACAATGGTAAATTTAAAAAGAGTGATAATGAAAGTGACGAGCTAGTGAGTGGTTGTGATAGTGATGATAATTGTGGTGGTCAAAAAAAGACTCACCCAATGTTTAAGATGCAAAAGGACATGGTTGATTTCAAATGGGAGGGAGGTGTGTACTTTAGTTCAAAAGATGATTTCAAGGAGGCAATAACATCATATGATCTCCATAGTGGTAGAAATCTTAAGTTAAGTAAAAATGATAAGGTAAGGGTGAAGGTAAAGTGTAAGGATAGTTGTGATTGGGAAGCTTATTGTGTCAAATTGTCAAATGAAGAAACTTGGAAATTAAGAAAGGTGAATGATGTACGTAGTTGTAGCATGGATTATAATGTGAAGATTGTTGTGATCACAAACGATACCTTTCAACACTTTCTTTATTGAGAAACGAAGTTTCTCGGGTTGAACAATGAAACAGTTAGAACAAAGAGATATAAAAGAAAGAATAAAGAAGAAATAAGAAGAAAGGATTTTGGGAAACTGTTTTCTATTCACTTACTCAATGTTACAATGATTATAAGTGAATAACACAATTGGTCTCACTCAACAACCTGAGTGATCTAGCATATTTATAGACTACAAGATAACTTAAATAACAAGCTAACCTAGAAAATTGGATCCTTAACACAAGACCCAATTTGAAATAATAATTCAACACTACATACTAGAACTGACTTCGACTACAGTATGTAAACACTTTGACATCAGCATGTGAACAATCTTCAATTTCATGCTTGTCTCCTATTGAATCATGAAAGTTATCCAAGTCGACACATCCCATTCGACAACACTAGAGTTTGATCCAATATCTCACAAACCTCCACCTTGGATCAAACTCTACAAACAGTAAGGAATAAACTAGCTTTCATCATGCAGCTTTATCAACGGCATATAGTGGAGAAACTTGCAACTTGACAATGTCTTGGCGATCATATTAGCAGCATTATTATCAGTCGAAACCTTCAGCACCTGGACTTTACCACGCTCGATTATCTCTCTGACAAAGTGAAACCTTACATCTATGTGCTTGGTTCGCTCAAGATAGGCCGAATTCTTCGACATGTGTATTGCAATTTGACTATCACATTTAACAGTTATAACTCGACCTTGAAGTTTCATCTCCTTTGGAAAACCTCCAAGCCATAATGCTTCTTTCACAGCTTCAGTGAGGGCAATATATTCTGCTTCAGTGGTTGATAAGGCAACAACCTTCTGAAGCGTCGCTTTCCAACTGAACGTCGTGCCGAACATAGTGAACACATATCTAAAAATATATTTTCTGGAGTCCATACAACCTACATAATCAGATTCAACAAATCCTTCAATTTCGACTTTGCTATCATCACCACAGATTCCACCATTAATCAGGACTCGACTCAGAGACCCATTTATGTACTTGAAAATCCACTTTAAAGCTTTCCATTGCGCCTTTCTAGGATTGATCATATACTTACTTACAAGGCTTTTTCCATACTCTATGTCTAGCCTCGTACAAACCATAACATACATCAAAGAACCCACTATACTAGCATATGTAATGCTACTCATATAGATTATTTTAGCTCCAGTACTCGGACATTGAGTAGTACTAAGCTTAAACTGAGGATCTGTCGGCGTAACAACAGACTTTGAATTCAACATACCAAACTTGTCAAGAATCTTCCGTAAGTATGTCTCTTGAGATAAGCATAACTTCGATTGCTTTCTATATCTCCGGATGTCAATCCCAAGAATCCTAGTGATAGCTCCCAGATCCTTCATTTTGAACTCCTTACTGAGTTTAGCATTCACCTCCATTACATTCTCGACACTGTTGCTAGCTATGAGGATATCATCCACATAAAGAAACAAAATAACAAGTGAGTTTCCAGGTCAAAATCTAAAGTAAACACAATGATCGAACTGGTTCCTAGTGAAATCAATGTGTGTCATGAACTTGTCGAATCTCCTATTCCATTATCGAGGAAATTGTTCTAGGCTATACAAAAACTTATTCAGCTTGCACACATAATCTTCCTTATCCTTTTTTGCATACCCTTCAGGTTGTCACATCAGGATCGTTTCATCTAGATCACCATACAGGAAGGTTGTCTTCACATCCATTTGTTCAAGTTCTAGATCGAACTTCGACACCATGGCTAACAACATTCTAATGGATATATGTTATACAACAGGTGAGAACACATCGTCAAAGTCGACACCTTCTTTCTGACCGAACCCCTAGCAACCAACCTTGCCTTAAAGCGCTTCGACATCACTCATTTGATTCCTTCATTGACCTTAAAAATCCACTTACAGCTGACTAACCTTCCTCCTACAGATTTCTCAATCAGCACCCAAGTGTTATTATCATGAAGATATTTCATCTCGTCATCCATGACTTTTTGCCATTCAGTCTTATTTTGACTCCTCATAGATTCCTTGTAGTCTATAGGTTCCTCCTCATGTACCTCACTTGCAGAGATTAAGGAAAAAGCTATAAGAGCTACATAACCAAGTCTTTGAGGTAGCTTGATGACTCTTCTCGA